GTCCCGTCATATATTTTCATACAAATTACCATATAAAATTTGAAATTCATGGCTAATGAAATTAATGATTACTTTTCACTGTGGATAACTGAAGCTAAAACAACTACTGAAAGATTATTTTGTAGTTAACTATGTGTCTAAGGATATGCGATGGCAGGAAGAAGACAGATATTAACATGTTTTAAGCTACAATAAGTAACTCTTTAAAAAACACACCTGAAAGTTCATTTTATTACTGAAGTTTAACCAAGCATGAAAGGTAGCTATATAAACTGAAGCTCCCCTTAATTGCTACCATGTGGCAATCTGGGTTGAAACTGGTTGAGCCAGGAGCAGTAGCTAATACATAAAATATTTTTTTCAAAGCGAAGTTGAAGTTTAATTTCATATTGGAGCTAAAACGTATACAGCATCCTTTTTGCAAACCCTAATCCTTACACAGTCATCTTAACCACAATACTTTCATGTCAATCCCATAATGCTTATTTCCACTTTGGGTACAAGCCACAGAAAATTAAGTCCCTGTAATCCAAATGAAATCAGTGGTGCTTAAGCACTTACATTTCTCTACACTGTGCTCTTACGTACAGGATAATGGTTTTACAGTATATAATTACAGCAGTGTGTGAATTTTCATATGAGTTATCAATAAGTTTCCCTAGATCTGTGTTCAGCATTTCAAAGGGAAGCAAAAAGGATTATCAGACTAAAAACAATCACAGTGAACCTACCTTCAAGGATACTTTTAAATATGTGATTTATTTTATTCTGAAGTTTCAAATACTTCCTCCACCCCACAGTAATTTCAATAGATCATTTTTGTTTGTAGCTTAATAAATCTATTAGTCTTCAAGAGTCTACCTCATGTCCCCATCTTCAAGACTTTTAATATTTAAATTTTTTATCAGAACAATCTTACACAAGTCCATGCAAGGAAGTTTCCAGGTGAGTTCAATGAAGCTTGTGCATCTGTATGTACCTTCAAAATGATTTATGGTGAACCCCCATTAATTTCATAGGGTTTTATTAGGCAAGGAATAGTTGGCAGGTTGTTTGCCATCACAAGTTAAGTATCCCTTATTTGAAAAGCATGAGATCAAAAGTGTCTTGAATTATGGAATTTCCCAACCCCTGGATTTTGGAATACCTGTATTTGCATATACATACATAATCAAGAAGTCTGGGAGATGGGACCCAGTGTAAAGACGGAATTCATTTATGTTTCAACAGCATCATATACAAAAATCCTGAAAATTCTACAATTTTTAAATAAGTTTGTGTATGACACAAAGTTTGTGTAAATTGTACAGTAAAAAATAAAAATGTTACTATCTCAGCCACCCATGTGAACCATTTCAGATATTGGAATATTTTTTATTTTGGAATTCTGAATAAGGCTTGCTCAATCAAAGAAACAACATGAAGTGTTGCAAATGTATACTATCGCAGTAAGCTAGGCATGGCCAAACTTGGGCCCTCCAGGGGTCCAAGTTTTGAACTTCACCTCCCACAATTCCTAACAGCCAAATTGTGGGAGTTATAGTCCAAAATATCTGGAGGGCTGCAGTGGGCCCATGCCTGCACTAAGCATACATTCAGAGACCTGGGAGTTAGGCATATTTTAGCCTGATTTTAGGTGTGTTTCGGTCAGCAAGACATTCTTCAGGGCACAAAAACGTTGCAAACATAAGAATCTGATCTTGAATGAAATGAATGGGAGTTGGCTTTACAGGAAAAGCATGTTTATGAGGGGTGGCATGAAACATTTTAGGTATTTCCTGAGACCAGAATTGTTCCTGAACAACAAACAATTTTGAGGCAGCTTGGGGGACAGGGGTAACCTTTACAAACCTGGTTCTCAAGTCGCTTTTGACCCAGCCCTGGTCATATTAATAGAGCCATCTACACCGTAGAATGAATGCAGTTTTACACCACCTTAGCTGTCATAGCTTAATGCAGGCATCCTCAAACTGTGGCCCTCCAGCTGTTTGGGCCTACAACTCCCAGAAGCCCTAACAAGCTTGTTCAATTGTCAGGAATTCTGGGAGTTGAAGGCCCAAACAGCTGGAGGGCCACAGTTTGAGGGTGCCTGGCTTAATGCCACAGAAGCCTGAGATTTATAATCTGGTGAGGCTCTGGCACTCCTTACTAGAGAAAACTAAGGGCTTTGCCAAACGACAACTGCCAGAATCCCACAGAATTAGGCCATTGCAGTTGAAGTGCTATCAAACTGCATGCATTCTAAAGTGTAGGACAGGAATGAGCAAACTTCAGCCCTCCAGGTGTTTTGGACACCCACAATTCCTAACAGCTGGGAGGGCTGAAGTTTGCTCATGCCTGGTGTAGGGGAAAACTTCTTGCCTGTGGGAAGCAGATAGGATCCAAAGAGGTGTGTCTTCTCTCAGTCTCCTGTCGAAAAGTGAGACCAAAGTGTGACTGACCACAGCCCTTCAACGAAAACTCAAATATTTCAACATCTTTCTGTGAGGAAGCCAAAACAAAAATGCCCCTCTTCCCCACACACATATATACCAACATCTGACTTTCCATTACTCTTGTCCTTCTTTTGAAAAGCCGAAGTGAGATCACAAAAAGAGAGGGCAAGGCAGGTGGGTCCCTCGAATACCCCTCACCTAAAGGTGTGTCTCCACTGCAGAATGTATGCAGTCTGACTTCACTGTAAGCACCACGCTTCGTTTTGGAATCATGGGAGCAGTTGTTTAGAGAGGCGCAACGACAACTCCCATGACAAAACTGCAACTCCCACTATTCCCTAGCATTGAGCCATGGGTGTTAAAGTAGTGTCAGACTGAATTAACCCTCCAGTGTAGACATGCCATTGGGCCCCAATGGGTCACTTGAACACTTGTGAGAGCCGAAGTCCAAAACAACTAGAGGGCCCAAGTTTGCCCATGCCTGATGTATAGGTAAAGGTAAAAGGTTCCCCTTGACATTAAGCCTAGTCGTGTATGACTCTGAGGGGTGGTGCTCATCTCCATTTCTAAGCCGAAGAGCCAGTGTTGTCCGTAGACACCTCCAAGGCCATATGACTGAAATGGCTGCATGGGGCTCCGTCACCTTCACACCAAAGCGGTAACTGCAAAAGTATGATAGCTGGGACCCTACGCTGGTTACGCAACACGGGTCTAAATTAATGAGGGGAACACATACGTGAGACAGCGCAGCAAGTGAGAGACGCAGCTGCGTCAGAGTTGTGGCACCATTGTTTCCCAGAAAGAGGGAGAGGTAACATTTCTATCCCGTTTATCGTCTTCGTAAGCCGTTGTTTATCATTTAACATTAAATATCTCTTACGTTACTTCACCCTTATCTTCTCCCACCTGAGTTAAATTACTTCACTACTATTCTGTCGCAGCTGCGTCTTTCACTCGCTCCGCTGTCTCACGCACATTTTCCCTTCATTAATTCTGAGCCGCATTGCGCAACCAGCTTAGGGTCCCAGCTATCATACTTTTGCCACGGTACCTACTGATCTATTCACAATTGCATGTTATCGAATTGCTAGGTTGACAGAAGCTGGGCCTAAGAGCGGGAGCTCACCAACCTTTCAGTCAGCAAGTTCAGCAGCGCAGTGGTTTAAGCCACTGCACCACCAGGGATTACAGAACTAATGTGCTCCGACTTTTAACTGCCGTGGATCAATACTAGGGAATCCTGAGAACTGTAATGTCACAAAGTCTTTCGCCACCTTTGCAAAAGAGTGCCTCACCTCACCAAACTATAACTCCCATGATGAGTCAAAGCCATGTCAAATGCAGTCCTGGGAGTTGTGATGAGTATGGTGGGACACCAGAATTCTTTGACAGAGGAGGTTATAGAGCAGGCATGGGCAAACTTGGGCCCTCCAAGTGTTTTGGACTTCAACTCCCACAATTCCTAACACCTGGAGGGCCCAAGTTTGCCATGGAGTCCTTGTACAACTACAACTCCCAGTATCCTTGAGCCAAGGTGATTAAGTAGCATTAATTATAGTAAGTGTAGATACCCCCGTCTCTCAGATTTGTGGGAGCTGAAGTCCAAAACACCTGGGGGCCCAAGTTTGCCATGGAGTCCTTGTACAACTACAATTCCCAGTATCCTTCAGCCAAGGCGGTTAAGTAGCATTAATTATAATAAGTGTAGATACCCCCTTATCTCAGATTTGTGGGAGTTGAAGTCCAAAACACCTGGAGGGCCCAAGTTTGCCCTTGTACAACTACAACTCCCAGTATCCTTGAGCCAAGGCGGTTAAGTAGGATTAATTATAATAAATGTAGATACCCCCTTCTCTCAGATTTTTGGGAGTTGAAGTCCAAACACCTGGAGGGTCCAAGTTTGCCATGGAGTCCTTGTACAACTACAACTCCCAGTATCCTTGAGCCAAGGCGGTTAAGTAGCATTAATTATAAGTGTAGATACCCCCTTCTCTCAGAATTGTGGGAGTAGAAGTCAAAAACACCTGGGGGCCCAAGTTTGCCATGGAGTCCTTATACAACTACAACTCCCAGTATCCTTGAGCCAAGGCGGTTAAGAGGCATTAATTATAATAAGTGTAGATACCCCCTTCTCTCAAGAGTGGGAAAAGGAGTGGGAAAAGAAGGCGCGCAAGAGAAAGACAAGAGGAAGGAAGGGAAGGAAGGAAGGCGGCATGAAGAGGAAAGCCCCCCGGCGACCCGAAGCCTCTCCCTGAAGAGGAATGCGATTCCCCCTTCTTCTTTCTCCCTTTTTGGATGGCAGGAAAGGTGGGCACTGGGGGGAGGAGGAGGAGGAGTGGAGAGAGGGGCAAGAAGGACAAGGCAGAAGGGGGAAGGCACAGCGGCACCGCTTCTTCCCTCATGGAGAGAGAGACAGACACAGAGAGAGAGAAAGAGAGGGAGAAAAAGCCGCCTTCCTTCTTTCCCCCAAAAAAAGGGGAAAGGCGCAAGGAGAAGCCTGGCCTAATTCTGATCCCGTTCCCGTTCCCCGCAGGCGCCGAGCCCTTCTTCCCGCGCTCACCTCACCTCACGGCGTGAAGGCTGCTGCGGGGCGGCAACTGCGCCGGGACTCAAGCCGACTCTGCCTCCTCCGCCATGTTCCTGGGGTGCCGCGCATGCCCGGCAGCGGCCCCGGGGGCTTCCCTCCGCCTCCTCCGCCTCCTCGCGCCCTCCTTCCTTGACAAGGGGGCGGGGGCGAGGAGGGCGCCCTTCCCGCCTCCCCCGCCCCCTCGCAGCGCCCTCCTCCTCCTCCTCCTCCTCTCCCCCCTCCCTCCCCCCCCTCGAGAGAGAGAGACTGATTGAGAGAGAGGGAGGGAAACACCCGCCAAAGGGGTCCTGTCAAGCAGGCAGACCCAGCAGGGCCCCTTTAGTAAAGTCACCTCATGTTTCTGAGGGAACACCATTCCAGTCGCCTTCGTTTGATCCTAGCACATCCTCAGCCAGACTCAGCATCCACAAAGCACCGCCCCCTCCAAAGCCACCTTAAAATTACCTCATGTTTCCGAGGGAACACCATTCAAATCATCCTATGAGTTGTTGTAGGTTTTTCGGACTGTATGGCCATGTTCTAGAGGCATTCTCTACTGACTTTTCGCCTGCATGTATGGCAAGCATCCTCAGTCACCTCACTATCTCTGAGGATGCTTGCCAAAGATGCAGGCGAAACGTCAGGAGAGAATGCTTCTAGAACATGGCCATACAACCTGAAAAACCTACAACAACCCAGTGATTCCGGCCATGAAAGCCTTCGACAATACATCCTAGGAGTGTTTGTCAGTCAGACTCAGCATCCAGAAAGCACCCCTCCTCACAAAGACACTGCAATAAAGCATACCACTCTAAAGTCACAATATAAAACTGCCTCATGTTTCTAAGGGAAAACAATTCAAATAATAATAATAGTAATAATAATAAGCCTTTGGCAATGCAATATTGGTTTGATCATCCTATAGGTGTATACAGAAATAATAATAATAAGCCTTCAACAACACAATAATATTGTTTTGATCACCTTATGGGTGTGTGTCAGCCAGACTCAGCATCCACAAAGCACCACCCCCTCCAAAGCCACCTTAAAATTACCTCATGTTTTTGAGGGAACACCATTCAAATCATCCTATGAGTGTTTGTCAGTCAGACTCGGCATCTGGAAAGCACCCTCCTCCCAAAGAAACTGTTAAAAAAGCATGACACTCTGAAGAAAGCAATATACAACTACCTCTTGTTTCCAAAGGAACACAATTCCAATAATAATTATAATAATAATAAGCCTTCAACAACCCAATAATATTGTTTTGATCACCCTGGGTGTATGTCAGCCAGACTCAGCATCCATAAAGCACCGCCCCCTCCAAACCCACCTTAAAATTACCTCATGTTTCTGAGGGAACACCATTCAAATCATCCTACGAGTGTTTGTCGAGTGTTTGTCAGTCAGACTCGGCATCCAGAAAGCACCCCTCTTCCCAAAGACAGTTTAAAAAAGCATGACACTCCAAAGACACAATATAAAACTACCTCTCTTGTTTCTAAGGGAACACAATTCCTATTATTATTATTATTATTATTATTATTATTATTATTATTATTATTAGACTTTGGCAACCCAATAATATTGTTTTGATCATCCTATGGGTGTATATCAGCCAGACTCAGCATCCATAAAGCACCGCCCCCTTCAAAGCCACATTAAAATTACCTCATGTTTCTTAGGGATTACCATTCAAATCATCCTATGAGTGTCAGTCAGACTTGACATCCAGAAAGCACTGCCCCCTCCAAACCCACCTTGAAATTACCTCATGTTTCTGAGGGAATCATCCTGTGAGTGTTTGTCAGTTAGACTCGGCATCCAGAAAGCACCCTCCTCCCAAATACACTTTACAATAAAACATGCCACTCCAAAGTCACAATGTATAACTACCTCATGTTTCAAAGTGAACACAATTCAAATGATATTGGTTTGATCATCCTGTGGGTGTATATCAGCCAGACTCAGCATCCATCATGTACCCCTTCCAAAGACACTTTAAAAATACCTTGTGTTTCTGAGGGAAGACAATTCAAATAGCATTAGTTTGATACCAACACATCCTACGAATGTATGTCAGACTAAGAAGTATCGACCCTCAAAAATTCAGGATATAAAACTGTTTCTAAGGCAATAGAATTCAAATAGCATTGGATTGATACTAACACAGCTGATGAGTGTATGCCAGTCAGATTCAGCATCCATAGCACTTCTCACAAAGACATACTAAAATTACCTCATGTTTCTGAGGGAACACCATTCAAACCACATAGGTTTGATCACCCTATGAGTGTTTATCAGCCAGACTCAACATCCAGAAAGCACCCCACCCCCAAAAGACACTTTAAAATAAAGCATGCCCCTCCAAAGACACATTAAAGTCACCTCCTGTTGCTAAAGGTACACAAATCCAATGCAATTGGTTTGATCATCCTATGGGTGTATATCAGCCCAACTCAGCATCTATAGAGCAACTTTTGACAGAGACAATTTAACACCAATGCCATTTGAATTGTGCTCCCTCAGAAACTTGGGGTAGCTTTAAAGTGTCTCTGTCAGAAGTTGCTCTATCCAATGAGCGTCTCTCAGCCACACTTGGCATCCATAAAGCACCCCTCACAAAGTCATAATATAAAATTTTATATTGTGACCTCACAAAGTCACATTATAAAATTAACTCATGCTTCCAAGAGAATACAGTTCCAGTAATCTTAGTTTGATCATCCTATGGGTGTACATCAACACAATTCAAATGGCATTGGTTTGATACTAACACATCCTATGACTGTATGTCAGCCAGACTCAGCATCCATAAAGCATCCCCCAAAGACACTTTAAAACTACTTATGTTTCTGAGGAAACACAATTCAAATAGCATTGGTTTGTTACTAACACATCCTATGAGTATATGTTAGCCAGATTCAGAAGTATCAGCCCTCATAAAGTCATGATATAAAACTACCATATATATCTGAGGCAATATAATTCAAATAGCATTGGTTTGATACTAACACAGTCTAAGCATTCATAAAGCACCCTTCACAAAGACACATCAAAATTACCTCATGTTTCTGAGAGAATACAATTCGAATCATATTGGTTTGATCATCCTATGGGTGTATATCAGCCAGACTCAGCATCTGTAAAATACCCCTCACAAAATACTTTAAAATTACTTATCTTTCTAAGGGAAAACAATTCAAATAGCATTAGTTTGATACTAACAGATCCTATGAGTGTATGTCAGCCAAACTCAGAAGTACATATCTATAAAACACCCCTCACAAAGACACATCAAAATTACCTCATGTTTCTGAGAGAACACAATTCGAATGACATTGGTTTGCTCATTTTATGGGCATATATCTGCCAAAATCTGAAGTATCCATAAAGCACTCCTCACAAAGTCACAATATAAAACTACCTCATGTTTTTGAGGGAGCATAATTCAAATCATATTGTTTTGATCCTAACACATCCTATGAGAACATATGAGCCAAACTGAGTAGTGCTTATAAAGCACCTTTTCTTCCAAAGACATGTTGAAATCGCCTCATGTCGCTGAGGCAACACAATTCAAATAACGTTGGCTTGATATTAATGTCCTGTGAGTGAATTATGTCAGCAGTATCAGTAAAGCACCCTGTACTAAGACACATTAAACTTAGCCCATTTTCTTGAGGCAACGCAATTCACATAACATTGTTTGATATCAATGCATCTTATGAGTGCACAACCGAGGCCCCATCTACACTGACCATTTAAGGCAGCTTCAACCCAGTCTTGTAGAAAATGGTTTCGCTATGTAGATGATTACACAGGAAATCTTGGAACCAGTGGCACAAACCACAGAGCAGTAATGCATATTAAGGGGTTTCTTTCACACTTTTATGTGAGTTTGTTGTCTGCCCAGTGTCGGACTACATCAAATGGTGAGTGTAGATGGGGCTTGAGCAGTACCTATAAAGCTGACACGGGCAAACTTGGGCCCTCCAGGTGTTTTGGATTTCAACTCCCACAAATCCTAACAGTCTCAGGCCCCTTCCTTTCCCCCCTCAGCCACTTAAACGGCTGAGGGGGGAAAGGAAAGGGCCTGAGACTGTTAGGAATTGTGGGAGTTAAAGTCCAAAACACCTGGAGGGGCTCAAGTTTGCCCATACCTGTTCTTCAGGAAGACGCATTCTAAGTCAATATTCTCCCATGAAAATCCCCAAAAGCAGCCCACACACACGCTCTGTCATGCTTTTTTCAAATGTTTCCGTTCACCAAATGCCTTTCAGTCATAAATCACATTAAAAGCTGTGGTGGGAGTTTCAGGAAATTACTCCCAAGGCCCCGTTTCCAGTGCTATCAAAGGAGGCTTTCCTGAAGAGAAGTGTAGAGCAGTCTTTTGGTGTGAACCAAACAAGGTCTCGCAATAGCTATAAAACAGTATGCTCCATGTTTCAAACAGAAGCATGTGCTCACAATAAAAGCAAAGTATTTCTGTTACTCAATGGAAGACAGCTGTTCCCAAGTGCACATGCATTATCTATTATCAATATTTTCTTTCTGTTTCCTAAGGCATGAAGTAGGACACTGCTTTCCTGAGGTCCTAACGCAGGTGTTAATTTAACATTCCAAAGCAAACATCATCATGTTAGTGACATTTATTCCTACTGCTCCAAATGATCATCATGTTCGTTCTCTATATCTTTCCATTATGAAAAAAATGGTACAGATGGCCTCCATTTATGGCCATTCAGCCTCTCTGTTAATAATATTTTTTGATACTCACCAATGAGAACAGGGGGAAAATATTAACAGAGGATCTGCACATACACACCCTGAGGACAACATTTAATTAATATGATAAACCCACAAAACATCATGCCACAAATCACAGACAAGACTCTTTGAGACAGGCAAACATAATTATATTTTGGGACATTGCTAACATGTCTATTCTTGTGTAATATTAATTATTAAATACATTTAACATAGGGCACACTCATATACATCTATGCCACTGTATATAATGGGACTTGAATACATTTTTGTAATCATCGGGTCCTGAAATCAAACATTAGCCCAGTCAAAGTTGAATAGTCTTCTTTATGTTAAGCCATCATAT